TTATCTTATTAAGATATGGTTTATATTCTTTATTTAGTACATAAATGCAAAACTTACCCTTCATCAAGTCTCGGACTCACATTCAAATGTTTGCCTATAAAAAGAGAAAAACATATGCAAGGGTGAAAAAAAAACTTTCAAGTGGTTCAAATATTGACTTATTTTAAGATATAGTTTATACTCTTTATTTGGTACAGAAATGCAAAACTCACCCCTCATGCAGTCTCAGAATTGCCCATCTTAACGATGTTTAACAGGTGGAGAAACAAATTTGTGTCAAATCTCAAACGTTACATTACAATCTGCAATGCTAATGCAGCACAGCACAGCGGCCACCGTGTCAGAAATACAAAACTTGAAAGGTAAACACAATTCGAAAAACAATGACAGAACATAACTAATTCTGCTCTATTCTGCTCAAATGAAAAATAATCTCCCAAAAATGATGTTAAACAAGAATTCGCTCACCTCATCCACGTAAAAACATAAGCTGTCATGGCTTTTTCATCATATAATTTTTTACAGTGTTGTAACAGCTCAAAAATCAGGAGGTTTTTTTCTTTTTCCACATTTGGCATGAGGTGTTCAGCTGAACACTATTGACGTGTAGCTACATGCAGGATGTTACCAAACAATAATTATCCAGCCATAAATGATGAAATGCTGAGGAAAGAGTCTAGGGTGTGTGATGCACGGTCACTGCACCATTATTATCATTAATTTAACCAAGCTTCCTGTGTGGTTTCTGACCTCCTGAGGAGTCTGAGGCGCTCAAGCAATCAAAAAGCTGGGCTTAACCCCGAGCAGAAAGTTAAAAAACATGCTGGACAAGCAATATCAACACATTGCAGACCCACAACATAGCTTCAAGCGCATTTGGTTGAGGTTGATCATTACAGCTCCTGTCAAAATTTGTGTGTGTTTGTGTGATTATCTTTCAGGGTGAGGGTCTGAATGACCTCCAGTGATGGAGATGTATCTGGAACGGGAGACGAGCTTTTGTTAGGTCTGTTACCAACTGCTCCAGGGCCAGCAGCTGCAGATGCTTCATGGGAAACTGGATTTATCTCACTTCGACCTCTATTTCTAAATCATGAGGCTAAATGTAGCGAGCACCCCCATCTACCCAGGTTTTAATCAACGTAATCACTAAATAAAAGATGGATTCAGTCAATGGGAAGTGTGAATGGCACCACCGAGCAGCTCATGTGATTAGAACAGGCTCCTACAGAGATTTCCAATCAAAGGTGTGAGGCCACTCTGACACACAGTCAGTTTTAGTCAGAGTCAGAGACTTAAAGGGACAGTTCACCCAAAAATGAACTGCAAAATGATTCTGCAAAACATCTTCATTCGTGTTCTACGGAAGAAAATAGCTGTATAGGGTTGGAGTGACATGGTGGTGACGTTCATTTTTCATTTTTTTTTTAGATGTGCTTTCCCCTTAACACTGATTTTGCCACTTGAGTCAAACTGAAATGTCAGGTATTTTATTGTAAGTGACCTATATTCAAATGCACCATATTTACTAGTTTAAAGTTCCACAGAAAATCATCATAAATATTAAAGCAATGCATAAAAGCATAGTCATTTTCTATAACTTTATCCTCAATTTCCTACATCAAGATCAATTGCTCACCCCAGTTCTGTCTCCAGAAGAACTCCAGGGTCTTCTGAGAGGCGAAGTGTTTCTTCACTGAGTAGTGTACTCTCTGGATCAGCATGTTAGATAGACCGGCTTGTCTCAGCAGGTAAGCCTGGGTAGGAGTGTGACCGAATGGATCCACAGCCCAGCCAGTCTTGGGTTTCACTCCTAACAAAAAGGGGAGGAATAAGAAGCACAGTATTATGTACTACCCATACTATAACTGTGTAGTACTATAAGTGCTTTCCACCATTACATGTAGTTAAAACGTAACATATTGTCTTGCATCATCACTCAAAAATGTTTACAGAAGTTTTAGTATATAAAAATATAAATTATATGTATTAATACAGCTGATTATTATTTGCATTACTGATGCATATACATAAAAAAGATTCAATAATATTCTCCCTTGTGTTCATTTACTAAAAACAATGTAAAACATACCATGATTATTTAACTGATTATTTAAGATTTAAACTGTTTAACTTGATTGTATTTTACTGTATTGACTAAAAGCCATCAGAACAGTTTTTTATATATATATATATATATATATATATATATATAATGTTACAAAATATTTTTATTTAAAATTAATTGTTGTTTTTAACTTTCTATTTATCAAAAAATCCTGAACAAAAAAATTTATCACTTTTAAATTGTAATAATATTTCTGTTTTCACAGTATTTTTCACCAAATAAATGCAGCCTTGGTGAGCATAAAATACTTCTCTCAAAAACATTAAAAAAAAAAAATCATAATTATTTAAAACGTTTGACCAGTAGTGTATTTTAAACTGTAATAATATTTCACAATATTATGACATGTATTTTTTTATCAGATAAATGTATTCTTGGTGAGTATAAGAGACATCATTCAAACATCATAAAAACTCTCACTGACCCCAATCTTCTGAACGGCAATGTATGTTTAGAATTCTTTACCTATAGCACCCATCCCTACTAGTCACATTTTTAGAAACAGCAAGGTCCCATTTTTAGTGTGGCTAAAGAAAAACTGGGAATGTATTCAGCAGAGCAATTACAACAGCTCCGAATGTAAAGGGAGGCGATTCTCAGAAGGAACTCGTGGAACAGAGTGAACCACAGGGGACGCAGGTAATCTTGAAGGTCACATGTTCTCTGAAGACACCCGTGTCTATATTCATGAGCACACGAGCTTCAGCAAACCTGAACACGGCTGCACATAGTTTTCCTCAATGTAATGCTGGGTGCATGGCATCATCAGCAAAACAAGTGTTGTTCGAAAGCCAAAGACTCACTGTAGTATCAGTCTCTCCAATCAATCTATATTTCAGAAGCGGTCCACAGACAGCTGAGATATCAGGAGAGCAGATGGTAGAGTGGATGTGTAGTAATGAGAGCCAGGGCTTTGCTCCATGTTTTAATACACTAATAACGAACACTGAAAAAAAATCTCCCAGAGGTCTTTGAGCCAATATAGGAAGCATAAATATGTAGAAGAGCTCAAATTCCTTACAGTATTGCAGTTAAGAGGTTTAACATTCTGGGTTTCACAACCCACATCTTGAGCTGAGGCTGATTCAGAATTTAAATGGGTCTCAAACAAGATATTATTACCCAGTTTAACCTAGGACCGCCCACAGTACCTTCTCGATCTAGCAAGTTCTAATCTAATTGACTGGCTTTATATAACTTCTGTATCAGTCCGCATGGAAACAAAGTTGCATTCATCTATTTTTCCACACCAGTTCTTTTTTTACACCGGAATATTATATATATTACGCAGTTATGAAGCATACTTGATGCATTTTTGCTGTTTCTGTGACTTTTAGATTTGAAGTGGAGATATCGACTACTTTGTTGTTAACTTTAAAGTAACTGAATGAATGATAAAGGTGAAATAATCGGGCGAGATGCAATAGATTTACATACCCAAATTTCTCTCCAACCACTGGTGACCTTCAACTAACTGATCTATCAATGCAAAGTAGTGAGTGTTGGCTTCGTCAGGCATCACCCAGCCTCCTGTAGCCACTTCGAGCTGACCGCTCTCTATCAGCCTGCGTTAGAGAAAGAGAGACAGTGAATGAAAGAGAAAAAAGAGAATCTTCTTTAACCTACCTAATGTCAACATGAAACTGCATTCACAACTCACTGTACTTCTGTGATATGTTTTTTTTTAACAGAAAAAAATAGATATTTCACAAGAAAATAAAGTAAGGTGGGATTTGGATTTGGGATTGGGTCAAGGAATGTTTTTTGTTAAAAACAACCAATATTCCTACAGACCTTTTCTTTGACAGGCCATAAGAAATGTAGGTATTGTGGCCATGACTTAAGAATTCGCACGACTTTTTAGTTTGCGGTGTGGCGGGCCGATTTTTCCGATTTTATCGATTCATTAGAATGTAATGTTTTACCATGATTTTTTTTTTTTAATTGAGGAATCACGGATTTAAATAAAAATATTACCAAACATTACAATTAAACACGTTGACAATACGCCAATCTTAACAGTAAAGAAAAAAATTATCCAATCGCATGGCATCGCACCTAGTCAAACACGTCCGTCAAGCACGTTTACATAGAAAAACAAACAAAAGAAAAGCAGCTTAGGGAATGCAAAAACCTGCAAAGAACTACTACTGTATGTTTGATATTTCTTGTTTGCATGATGGTGACAGGCTGAAAGGTGCTGATATATTTATTTATGCTTTTACAAAATATTCAGTGTTAATAATAGTCTTCTACTGGTGTTTCACATTAAGTCAATTTGAATTTAAACAGCCTTTGACTTTTTGAGTTCCCCCAAAACTGCTTTAGAGAAAGCATATAGGAAGATTCTTTCAGCACTCTATGGAGCACTTATCACTTCATTCCTACTGCATTCCCGCTACACTGCAAGCTCTGCCCTAATAAAATTTTGCTGGGCACCTGTTGTCAAAGAAAGTTGCTTGCCTTTCTTCAGACATGGTGGAGATGAAGTTAAGTATCTCTTGCAAAACCTCCAACCTGAAGACTCAGTTATACTGCTACTGTGGCTTCCACGGAGGATGCTCACTCACATTTGTCTAGTGAAGCGCCTTTCTTTTTGCCCTATACTCCCTCATAGCCCCCCACTTGGAATGCGAGAGGCGCTTCGAGGTGGGGCACTGAGCTGCAGGGGCTTGTATTCCCTCAGTTCAGCTCACATCACTACACTTCGTTGGTATGTTTTTTCGAACTGTCTGGTTGGTGCCGTGATTATCCAATAAATTAAATTTTCCACTAAATTAAGTTTTGTTTTGTTATTTGACACATTTCAATTTCACAAAGCAATGTGCAGCATTTTGTCCAAGCAATAATGAAAGGACACCTTTTCATTTCTAATTTCTAATTTCAATCTCGTTTTGTTCAAATTTTTTTATTGTGAAATCACTATTGTAAATTGTATTGAATCGTGAGTTAAGTGAATTGTTGCATCCCTACCATGTTGTACTAATCTGTTCCCAATTTTTAGTTCAATCGAGGCTACTTTGTAATGACTCCCTCCCAAGTTTTATTTAAAGGGGTCATATGACGTTGCTAAAAAATAACATTATGTTGTGTATTTGGTGTAATGAAATGTGTTTATGCAGGAAAACTTGAAATCGCATCATATGACCCCTTTAAATCATGGCCAAGGTGTACTGATTCATTTGTACTAACTCACTCCCCGGTTTTAGTTAAATCAAGGGCTTGTTCTAATGATTTGTTCTCAAGTTTTAGTATAATTGTGGCCATGTTGTACTATTTTGTTTGTACTAATTTGTTCCCTAGTTTTAATTCAAGCGAGGCCACTTCATACTAATTCTCTTTAATGTTTTAGTTAAATCATGTTCATGTTGTACTAATTTGTTAATTAGTTCACAATATCTTGTTTTTTCTCCCCGCATATCATGTGTAGGGCACCATTAAAACATATTTTTAAAAATTAACTACAAAAACACTCAAACAAAACAAAACAAAACCAAAACAGTGGTTAAAATAAAATTGCAACAACCGAAATGAAGTTTTTTTTTTCTGTTTTCCCACAATTATATTTTCAAACCAAGAAATCACTGTTTTGAATAAAAATATTAGCAAACATTACAATTAAAGTCATTACTGATGGGGTCAAGGAACTATAGTACAGATAACGCAATTAATTAGCCATATTAATGTGCATGGTTATGATAGCAAAATAAACAGGCTTATAAACTTTTAGGAGAAAACACAACATATCTTTTAGGTTGCTGATGTCAAATGCTCGTTCAAACAAATCATACTGTAAAATCTAGGTTGCATGAAATGCATTCATCTATCCAAGTTTTTTATTTTAATATATTTTAATGTTTGAATTTAAGGCAATTTTTGGGTCATCACTTGTTGTCCAATGTAAAATCTGGGTCCTAAACAAAAACCAGATGAGAACCACTTATTCACGAGGGGATGAGTCAGACTGGTTTGTCTGTTCACATCTGGAACATTAATATCGTTTTATGAAACGTTATGATTTATTTTTTTTACTTTAGAAATATGTGCACAGTAAAACCAGGAATGTATAAAATATATAAAGCATATAAAGTCAATTTTTATGTCTTTAAACTAAGATAAGCAAAGCTTTGAAGAGGACAGAGGAGCTGCTAATGTTTCACCACAGTAACATCATCGACAGCTTTTCTTCAGGGTTTTTACTACAAAGCACTTTCTCCACATATGCAGCTTTACACAGTAACTAACATTTTTTTTAATCTTCAGATTTATTGAGTTTTGCACCACAAACTAATTATTTTCTTGAACAGAAAGCAGACACCTTGGGTAATGGCATCCCTTATTAGAAGTAGAGTTCTCCAGGCCTGATTGCCAGTCAGCAGCTTTTCTCTGTAATGCTGAATATTTCAGCTGCGAATCGTATAGCGTGGCCCTCTGGAGGCCAGTAATAAGAGCAGCGGTAGCAAAACCAAGAGCACTAGCTCAGCACGTAACTGTCAGAAACTTTCAAAATTACTTTGAAAAATGGTCTGTTATTCTGGAATCAATCACTGGCTACAGAAATGAGCCACTGGGCAGCAGTGATTAGACCCTTCATTAAAGTCGATGTGAAATCAAAAACCACCCTATTCACTTTCTTTGTACTTGGGTTTATTGTGCACGATTTATCAATGCATGTTATTCGAAAACATTTTTAAAATGTAATAACTTTACTCAGACAAACTAAGTAAAATGGATTACGAAAATCATTTTATGTTGTCTTTGACCCTACTGTGAACTTTTCTACATCATCTAGGACATACTTGGTTCATTTTACACTAGATCAGCAATTTAGACCATGAAATATAAGTTTATCCCTTTTAGAAAGAGAAATTTGAGACTAAATGCTTCCTATATCGAGTTAAATGTTGAGATGGCATGAAATTGAGGTTCAGGTGAGGTTAATCTGAAAATATGTTGACATGCTCTTTGATTAACACATGAAATATTTGAAAAGTCTCATTCCCAATGCTGAAAATTAAATATATATATATATGCCAGCATAGATTTGAATTTATGGACTTATCTGCAGTTTCCATTTTCCGTAACGCACTAAGCAGACTCCAGAGCTCAGACATCTTGATTTATTCTGAAGATACACCTCCATGTATGTGGCAGTAAAAGAAACTGAATCATTATGCTAGACCTTGATTCGGCTGATATAAAATGAAATAAAACCTGCTCATGCCTGCCAAAAATCTTGATTTGGAGTCAGCCAAGGCCATCTTGGTAATAAACGGGTGGGGGGTGGGGGGTGTAAATGTTCAAAAAGAATAGAGCTTGTTTGCTTCAAACTCTTTCTGTGCATCAAATCAATAGTGAATAAATATTGGCGTTGGATTTTACATTTGGCTTCAGCCTTCACCTCAGGCCGTTTTGAAAGATGCTCTAATTGGAATTCAAACCCACAGTAGAAATGTTTATTACATTTCCACAAGGCATTTGTGTCTTTTCCCAAGGCTAGCTCAACAGTGAACACGACCAGTTCTGTATATTTGACATGCATTTATAGCCCATCCTCTCCTGTGGCAGGGTTGACCTTGTAATCATATGTAAATATGTACTGATGACATCTCTGAACGAATAACATTGATTAACTATAGTTTAAATGGAATACATTAACGCATTTTAGGAAATGTTCAAAGAGAAGTGAATGGTTATGAAAATAAATACATACTAGAAACTACATTTCGTGTCATTATCACTACTAAAATTGTATGTTTGTATTATAACAATATCTCAACTTAATTTTGTTGTCATTTTATTTTTGTGCATAAACCGTCACCTGAGAGCTAGGCAATAAAGTACAAACTTTGAGCTTAATTAAAATGGGACCAAAAGCACAATGGAGTCCTCCTCCACTCCTCAACATCTCCCAGTCTTGCTTACACCAGACCTGTGTGTGAACGTTGCAATTAATGAATCCATAAATTACACCGACGCATGAGGATATATGGATATCAACAGCAGAGAAAAGCCTCACCTCCTGACAGCATCTCGTTTCTGCTCATCGATGTTGTCCCACCATTTGGAAAAATACGAGATCTCAGACCAGATCATTTTTCTCCGACTGTCTTCATGTAATTTCACCACCATGTTGTTGAGAATGTGTTGCGTCTGGTCTCTATAGTAGTCATCGAATGTCTTCAGCCAGCCTGAGCAGAACAACACACAAACTTGTTAAACTTTGACATTTAAAATGGTTTCAAAAATGAAAATTCTGTCAACATTTATTTACTCTCATGTTATTCCAAACCATTCTTTCTTCTGTGGAACACCAAAGGAGATGTTTAACAGAATGTTCAAGCTGTTAAATGGGGATCAGGAATAGCGGTAGTCACCATTTACTTTCAATGTATGGAAAAGAGCAGCTTGGATATTCTACTAAATATCTTATTTTGTGCTCAATGCAAGAAGGTAGTAGTAAATCACACCATTAAAGGGGTGTGAAACAAAAAAGCATTATGGTATCAGCATGTTATACTAATGCAATCAAAATTATTCAACCCCCCAGAGTCTATAACAATTTACAAATGTAAGCTTTTTTTGAAGATTTGATATAGCATCGACAACAGTTTAGTGGCATATTGCAAGTGACATTGTCAATATATAAATATAACATTTTTGAGTTTGTAAGGTTAGGTACAAAATTGTGTTAAAACACAATTAAGCCTTTCGGAAACTCTACAACAAATCTTAACTTGTTTAAGCTGTTACAAATACAAACGTTCAGCCCATGCATGTGCTAAAATTGAGTAGCACATATAGTCAAGTCAGAAGAGATCTCACAAAAGTTATAGAGAATTTTTGACAATGTTTGACCATGCAGTTTGACCAGTCTTGTTTTCTTGTCAGTCTTGTCGTTTTGCTGCTTCAGGAAGTGGAAATCTTGACTGTATAAAGGGCATTATGGATTCTTTGAAGTATCAGGCCATTTTGGCAAAGCTTTGTATTGCCTTTGGTGCATAGACTGAAGCTGATGATCATTGGGCTTTCCAGCAGAGCAACCATCCCAAAGTATACATCCAAGCTTGGTTCAGGAATCGGTCATAAAATGTTTTTGGGTGGCCTGTTCAGTTTTCAGATTTAAATCTCATTAAAAACACTGGCCACACTTTAGTTTAAAGGGGTCATCGGATGCCCATTTTCCACAAGTTGATATGATTCTTTAGGGTCTTAATGAAAAGTCTATAAAATGCTTTGGTTAAAATTTCTCAATGGTAGTGTAAAAAACACCCTTTATACTTTGTCAAAATCAGCTCTGCACAAATCAACCCATTTTGTTGCATGTCCCTTTAAATGCTAATGAGCCCTGCTCACCCCGCCCCTCTCTTCTGTGGGGTGACGAGCCGTGGGCCCTGTCTCAAATGGAACACTTCATGTGCACTTGAGGTCTTACGGACTTACAATGGCCGCCGCGTGCGCGTGTCCGTTAAGTCCACGAGACCGTAGTGTGTCCCATTTGTCATTTTAGTGTTCAAAAGGGTGCTCGTGAGCGCCCCTGTCACGGCGCGGTAAGGGAACACACCGTGTAAACAAGGGTCTGGGTCCAAATGCAGGTCTTTATTAACTTAGGGAAAACAAAGTAAAAACCAAAACGGAAACACAAACAGATATAAGAATCTGACAACAGGCTCGAAACAGAAACAGGGATATGACACAACTACGGCAACTTAGTGCTTGCATCAGTCCACATATCAACAACTAATAATCAGCCCAGAGATGCGTGGGGAAGAAGTATAAATAGCCATCAGGATGGGCAACAGCTGTGTGTGTGTGTGTGAGTAAGTGCACAGGTGTGTGAAGTTAAGGTAAAGGAGTCCGGGAGGATGGGAAATGGCGACCTCTGGTGGTGAGAGGGAGAAACACCAGACCCAGACCCCTGACAGCCCCCTTTGCGGCCGTTATGCGCCCTCGATCCGCACTTCTGCCGAGCCCGCACTGGGGTGAGCTCCGCAGCAGACTTCTACCTGACAGTCAAAGCAGCATTACGTCAAGAAAGTGCGGACTCAGAGGAAGACTGCGAGGGTTTAGAGTGCCATTTGGGACAGGGCCGTGCTCTGAGAGACTTACTTTAGCCACGAAACTTGCTAACTAGCACATTATTACGAAAGGCGACTTGCAAAGATTCATAAAAACCCCTTATACTCACTTCTTCTGGAGGTGAAGCTGGATCACGAATGATTCGCGTGAATATAAACGCATTTAGGCAGATCGGGGGCACATTCCCTTCACAAACAAAAGTAATCCACTGCATCTTCAGCGGTCTCAGATGTCGGGTGTAAATGACGACTGCTATGTTCATTATTACATCCAACAACAGAACACCTCAGTCACTATGGAGACATTCTTGTCTTCCCCTGCACCGGGGTCGATACAATGGTGGACTGTTTCAGCTCACTCAGGGCGGGTCTAAGGTAAAACGCTAGAGTCAATCAACTATTGTGGGAGGGGCCTTGGTTTGTGTGATGTCACATAGACAGGCATCTGAGAATGGCTTGATTTGAAAAAGGGGATATTATTTTTAGAGATTAAATAAAAACCACTAGGTGGATCTTTAGCATTATAGGGTGGATGTGTACACACACTGCCAACACACATTTATGTTCAAACAGCATGTAAAAGTGAATTTTGCATCCGATGACCCCTTTAAGGTCCAATTCTTGCTATCAACACACCATTAACTACGACTTTTGCCTCAATAAACTCCTAATTTGCTGCTCATTAAAAGTTAGTAAGGTAGTTGTTAAGTCTAGGTATTGGGTAAGATAAGGGATGTAGAATATGGTCATGCAGAAGATGTGATTTATAAACAGCCAATATGTTAATAATAGGTGTGCTAATAAGCAGCTAGTTCAGTGGTTCTCAAACCTGTCCTGGAGTATCCCCAGCCCTGCACATTTTGTATGGCTGTGTCCGAAATTGCCCCCATACCCTTAAATAGGGCACTATTTGAGGGAACAGCCATTTTTAGTGGTGTCCGAAACCATAGTGGACGTTCTTGAGTGCACTCATTCAATCCCACAATGCACTGCAAAAACGAGTGTACAACTGGTGCAAGTGGAGACTGCAAGACCTGAAGTGGGTGTGTCAGACATAGGGAGACATACAAAATGTGCAGGGCTGGGGGTACCTCATGGAGAGGTTTGAGAACCACTGAACTAGTTAATAATGAAAATTGGTCACTATACTAAAGTGTTACCAAAATATTTGTTGAGATTTGAAGAAAGCAGTGGAAACATGTCAGCACAAAGAGACAACAATTATTGGAGGTAACAAAGAATAAAAGATTATCTACAAAATGTAACTTTTGGGTGTTGGATAAATTTGTACATGAATGTTTAGAGCCAATTTGTTTACTGATGCCTTGGTGTAATTGTTTTTATGAAATGTTGTTCAAGGCAACAGAATGTCTTGCAGCTCAAGGGGGAGTGAATAATTTTGATTGCAACTGTAGTTTATTCTAGGTAGGTAACATAAAAATGCCACTGAATATGAATATGGTCTCATTCATTGAAATATCTCATGGTATAACCAAACACTACCGTTCAAATCTTTAGAGTCAGAAGGTAAAATAACTTAATTTTAAGAATCTTGAAGACAAATTACAGCATCTAACAAAACAACATACAATTATTCAGGATGCTCAGATTCTGAGGCAAATTAAAGTTATTAAAAATAAGATGGATGAGACATATAAGTCAGGTGCATTGATTAAAATGTTTTTAGATTCTCTTGACATTCCTTCTATTGGACAGAAACAAAATAATCTCTTAAAAGAAGGAAGAATTTAATAGAGCTTTAAATAATCTTACAAATAATAAAATGCCTGGTATAACGATGGTTTACCATCAAAGTGTAAACTACAAATTGTTAGCCTCTATTTTAGCAAAAAGGCTTGAGTCCTTTCTACAGATTTATTAAAGTTAGATCAAAAAGAATTTATTAGAGGACAACAGACTCAGGATTAGACAAATGCTTCATGTAATTCAACAAACTAAAAAAAGATCATGTTAAAGCAACTTTAGTAAGCCTGGACACAGAAAAGGCATTTGATTGTGTGAATTGGGAATAGTTATTTCAGGTTTTACGGAGGTTCTGAATCTCAGAAAACTTGCAGTATTTGAAGCCAGAGACTAGCATTAAAATAAATGCTTACCTTAACAGAAAATATATGGGTGTCCCCTCTTACCCGTATGCAATTTATATTGACCTCTTGCTCAGGCAGACAGAGAGAGGACAAGACAACTGGGGGAATTACTATTAATATGGCACAACATAAACTTATATGCTGATGATTTATATTATATGGATATAAATTAAACATACAGAGAACTCAAATTTTGTCATTTGGTTTCAACCCAACAAAAGAAATTAAGCATAAGTTGAACAAGATCTAACAAAGTTTAATTATAATTTAATCAGTCTCAAAAAATTAAAGATCTTGAACACTGGTCCTTGCTATCTGGATTTTAGCTCAGGAACCGAAAGCATAAAAATAAATGCACTTTCAAGATTGTTACACTTTTTCCAATCACTCCCTATGGATATACCCCTTAAGCAGTTTCATGAAAGGGATAAATCCATTTCTAGATTCATTTGAAAAGGAGGAAAGCCAAAAATGAGATACAACACTTTTTAACTGGATAAAAGTAACAAGGTAAGTCACCAAACTGAAAGATTGCCGCACAATTAAGACCACTGATGTATTGGTGTGATTTAGAGGTAGAGACTAAATGAAAGAAAATTCGATTGCGAAAGTCGAGGGATGCCAGTTTAGGCTTTAATAGGTAAAAAAAAAATTACTTCCCAAAGCAGATCCATTTTTATCTTAACCCACTAACTCAAGTGATAAAGGAACTTAATTTGCACAACCAAATTCAGATTTTGAATTGGGTGGCACACAATCCAGATTAACCAGGGACGATGGATAGGTTTAAATAATTAGTATAAATAGTTTCTTTAAGGAATTTCCTCCATTTGCACAATTATAAAGGATGGCAATACTGAAAGCTTTCAATCTTTCAAAGACAAGTTTGGCCTTGTAAACCAAGACCTATTTCAATACTTGAAAGAGATAAAGGATAATGCTCAGATTAATCAAATCGCACAAATTATTATACAGGGATACAAGAAAGTTACAAAAAGGATAGTA